TTGGCCGCTTTGGAGGCCATCCGAAGGCCGTCCTGCGCAGGACCACCCGACGGAGTGCACCTCTTTTTGGGTGGCCGGCGCCGCGATCGGCCCTGGTCCCCTTTGGCTGCCCGTGGGGGGACCTCTTAGGGGGGCCTCTCGCGGAGCCTTCCCGGAGGCTTGTTTCGGGTGTCTCGGGGGCCTCTCGGGGGCCTCTCGGGGGCCTCTCGGGCCTGCTTCGGGCTTCCGTGAGGGTGTCTGGGGCTTCGGGGGGGCCCCGTGGGGGCGTGCCAGCGGCCTCGGGGGCCATCTTGGGGCGGAAGGCGCGAGGTGGGGCCGTCTTGGGCCGCCTGGGAGGCCTCTTGGCCCGTCTTGGAGCCCGTTTGGGCGCCTCTTGGAGCGATCTTGGGGACCCCTTGGGCCGTTTTGGGGCGATCTTTGGGGCCCCTCTTGGGCCGTCCTGGAGAGTCGGAAGCCCGAATCGGCGAGACTTCTGAGGTCATTTGAGCCCCTTGGGGCCGTCTTGGGGGGCCTCTTGGAGCCCTCTTGGGGGAGTCTTGGGGGCCCTTGGGCCGTCTGGAGGCCATCGTGGGCGTCCTGGAGCGATCTTCGGGCGACTCGGGGCCCGCTTGGACCGTCTTGGGAGCCTCTTGGAGCCCTCTTGGCCCGTCAAGGCGCCGTCTTGCCTCCAGAGAAGCCGCACGGGAACGCGCGACAAATCTCGGGACCGCCCGCGAGCGCTCAGAAGCGCCCAGGACTCCGGGCTGTGGACCACGTAGAGCACTGCAGTGCTTGAAAGGTAGAGGACTAAGGCGGGGGCGCTGGCGCCCCCCCCGCCCTACCCCTCGCCTCTTGTCGTCTCGTCTCCCTCGTCTCTCTCGCCTCCCTCGCCTCGTCTCCCTCCCTCGTCTCCCTCACTCGTCTCTTGGGTGGCCCGCCGACCCAGCGCCCGGGCCTGGCCTCTCAGAGGGGCACGGCCCCCCCTAGGAGGAGGAGGAGGAGGAGGAGGAGGAGGAGGAGGAGGAGGAGGAGGAGGAGGAGGAGGAGAGGAGCAGGAGGAGGAGGAGGAGGAGGAGGAGGAGGAGGAGGAGGAGGAGGAGGAGGAGGAGGAGGAGGAGGACCGCCTCCTGCTTGGCCTGCGCGGGCCTCCCGGCGCCGGCCTCCTCTGGGCCGCCCGTGGCGGCGGCACCCGTCGCCCGGCCGCGGCGGCCGCTCTCGCTGCTCCCTTGCGGGGGGCCTGGTGCCGCCCGGCACGCCGACGGCCCAGGCCCTCTCGCGCTGCGAAGCAAAAAACACGGCGGGAGGTCTTTCGCTGCATGTTCGTCGGCCCCCAGGGGCCCCTGCCGGGCCTCGGAACCGTCAAGAAATAGGGGAACAAAAAGTGTCATGAACAAAAAAACTCGGAGGTCCGCACGGATTTCTCGGATCGGCGCTGGGCCCCCCCAGCGGCGCCTCCGGCGCCGCCCCTGGCGCGCTCCGCGCGCCAAGGAGGGGGATCCAGCGCCGATCCGAGAAATCCGCGCGGACCTCCGAGTTTTTGTGTTTATGCCACTTTTGTTCCCCTGAGAAAGGGATCAGCAGTCACCGAGCGCAGAGTGCCTGCTCGCAAGCGTCCGCACAGACGCGTCTGCCTTCCCGTGGTACGTATCGTAGATCTCCTTCGCGGCGGATCCAGGTCATTCCTGCGAGTAGTTACTCTGCGAGTCGTGGAGCGCGCTTTTCCAAGGAGGCAAAGCCGGTCACGGGGAAGGGGTCCAGACCTCTTCGGGTGCGGCAAAGAGGGGGGTGATGACTAGGGGGGGGGGGTGGATATCATGACGTGGGCCATCATATTTCCCCAGGTTTCATGGCGCCTCTTCCCATTTCGTCACGTCCCTGGCCCCCCCGCGGGGCCGCGCACATGCCGCAGGTCATGATTTGCACCCCGCCCTCTTGGACACCCCCCTCTTGGCCGCCCCCGACCTCTGGGGGTCGACGCTGCGAACGGCGTCACGACGCCCGGGGGGCTGGGATGAGGCGCGGCCACGGGCGTCTGCGCCCCCAGCACGCCCACCTCTCTGCTGCAGCCGCTGCCCCGGGGGCACGCCACCTCTCGGGAGGGAAGCAAACACACACAGACACAATTGATCGCCGACTCCCCGGAAAATATGGGAACATATGGGAAGTGGGGGGACGACAACAACCCAGAACATACGGGAACATACGGTAATCCTGTTATCTGTGTGTGTATTTATTTGTGTGTGTCCTTGGGCCCCTTGAACCTCGTGCCTCGGGTGATGATGTTCCAACCTGCTTCAGCCTTGACCGCCAGTAGGAGTTTCGAGCACCAAGAGAGTGCCGAGCGCGGAGGTTTTTCACGCGTCGGGCCCTGGGAGGCGATACTCTTTCGGCACTGCTTCGGTACCTTTCTGGGTGCTCGAAGCCATCTCAGGGATTTGGTCCTTAATTGCGGTGGGAGCAACCTAAGCCTCGGGGCCCGCCGGCGGACTGGCGCTGGGGCTGAGGCTGGAGCGGTCCCCTCTTGAGGAAGCCCGTGCTTTCGGCACGAGGCGCGCTCCTAAGTGGATCGGGAGGCTCTCTCCCCGCGTGTGCCTCCAAGGTGTCTCCCACCTTCAGGGGCACCAGGGCTCCATGCCTCATCATCTGGAGGTCGGAAACGGGTGTGGCATCAAGGGGTGTGCTGTGCCAATGCTGAACCTGGCAGAGTGATCTGTCGTGGATAGCATCTACATTTCCACGATTGGCACCACATCCCTTTTCTGCCACACCCCTTTCCTGGCTCCAGACCTCAGTGTCAGGGCGCTGACTGGGTTTCGAGTCAGGGTCGCCAGGGTTTTCCCCGCGCTGAGACTTGTACGGTCCGTTCGCGTCGTGTCGACGCGGCGGCGACCCCGTCGCGGGCGTTCAAGGTTGAGCGCCGCCAGTGGTCCAGAATGGGTCGATATGGAACGGTTTGACGGCCGAGAAGCCGCCGATCGTTCAGGTTTGAATGTTCTACGCGATGTGAGAGACTACCGCTGGGGCTGTCACGATGCGAACCTGCCGTGCCCGTTCTTCCAGGGGCCAGGTAACTCGCTGTGACGACGAGGGGGCCATGAGGTTCAACCACGAGGGCTTCAGAACTTGCTGGCTCCTGCGCTTCGCCTCCCTTCGCTTCCTGTCTCACCTTGGTGGCAAAGGTAAGGCCTTTGCGCGCTGAGCTCCTAGTCCTATCCGTCAGTTCAGAGGTCCGCTCTTGGGAGCGCCTCGCTCAACTCCTCCTCCTCTTTCTCACTCTTCTTCCCCTTCTTCGCTCTCCACTTCCCCTCTTCCTCTCGACTGCCACTCCCTCCCCTTCGTCCCCGTCCCAATCCCCTGGCCCCCTTGTTTCATATTTTACCAGCACGCTTGCTCATTGTGTTGTATGGCAGTGCTCCCTCTCCCTCCGCTGTCGTCCTGGTGGCCATTGTGCGCGAGTGTTGCCCGTACTCCCAAAAGACAGCAGGGCACAGTCGACCTTTTTCCTTTCAGCAAACGTTTTGCCGTCGACGTTGCAATGTGCATGGTGCGGAGTAGACGCGGCGCAAATCGTGCGCGAAAGTGTGAAATGTCGCTGTCCCCGTGGCGCCGCGCAGGTTTTCCTCGAAGAGTACGCTTCCCGCATGGGCGTGGCTTTCGTCATTCTCTCGTCAAGCGCGTCGATTGCGAGGGAACGCCAAATTGCCTCGCCAAATCGCCCTGCGGGTTTCCCCTGAAAGGTGCGTTCGCGTTCGTGCGCGGAACATGTTTTCCTTCACGAGTCCTGTTGGAAGCTGGGCTGTGCGCGGGAGCTACATGTAGTTTTCGCCCCAGCGCCGTGCAGTTTTTGTTCGGCTTTGCTTTTTTTGTCGTTGGAGCCAGGGCCGCGTGCGATGCAGCGGAACGTTGCTCTTGCCTTAGAAGCGCGTAGGAACACAGTCGATGGTTTTTCTTTCAGCATGGATGTTTTGTAGTGGACGTTGCAACATTTGCGGCGCGAGTGGGACGCGGTGCGCCTCGCGCGCGATCGAGCGGAGTTTCGTTATGGCGTCTGCGCAGCGCGGCTTCTCCATGACATCTGCTTTTCTATTTGGTCGCGGCGCATGCTTTTCCAAGCCAGTCGTCGTGGAAGCAGGGCCACGCGCGAGGAAGCGAAATCTCACGATCGCCCCACCGCGACGCACTGTTTTTCTGACAGCTGCGGTGCCACTTCGCGCCAACGTACTTGCCGTCTTCGCCAGCCAGCCGCACGTAGAGTTCACACAACGGAGGCGATGCTGAATGCGCACGCGCGAACACCTGAGCAAGCAACGTTGTAATCGCGGTGTGCCCCGTGCTGGCTTCGAGTGAGAGCTTACACGCCATCCCGGTCGATATCCCCGTCGGCCGACGGGAATGCCGAGTTGCTTCAGGGTGCAGCTCGCGCGCCATAGTCGATGCAGAATCTGGGTTGCGTTGGCGTCCCAGACCTCCCCGGTTGGGCAAGACAGCCGCGTTCCATTCCGTGCTGGCCTCGCTCGTGAGTTCGCACACCAGGCTGGCAGGTTTGCCTGCAGGTTGTCAACTGTTGGGTTGTGCTGGCCCTGGCTCTAGTAGGGGGACGAAGGTGGCAGTAGGCGGATCCCGTTGGCTCGCTCGAGCTGTCTGTCTTGGCTCCTGCTATTCCTGCTGGTACTCCTGATCCAGCTCTTCCTCTTTATCCTTCGCCGTCTCTTTTTGTTTACAGCACTTCATTTTTCTCTCTTCTTTCTTTTCCTGATCCTTTTCCTTTTCGATATATGTTTGGTTGTAAGTCTTGACCTCTGTGTCCTTCTCGTCCTCAATGGCTGCACTGTTACTTTCTTCCGCCTTCCCTTCTTTCCCTCTTAGCTCCGCCTCCCTCATCCCTCCCAGCTCCTCTCCGCTTCGTGCTCCCTCCTCCTGTGCCTTCTCATCCGCAGAAGTTGCGTAGACCCAGCCGCATCGCCGCCCCAGGGCGACCGATCCCCCACGCGCGCCGGTTCACCCCTCCGCGTCTGCTGACGATGCGTGCTGCCTGCGCGAGCGCGTTGCTCGGCACTCTCGCCTTCGGGCGAGATGAGCCCGTCAACTACATGATGAAGTGGAAGGCGTACAAGGCGGAGTACGGCAAGGTGTACAACGAGGAGGAGGAGTCCGTCCGCTACGAGATCTTCAAGACCAACGTCGACATCATCTACCAGGAGAATAGCAAGGGCCACACCTACGAGCTGGGCGTGAACGTGTACGCGGACATGTCCGCGGACGAGTTCTCCGCGGTGCGTCGGAGATCCCCACCTTTGCGCTGACCAGTCCCGTCCTCCTTCCCCTCCCTGCTGTCGCGCCGTCCCGGCGAGGGAGGATCAGCAGGGGGGGAGCAGGGAGGGTCGACCAGGACTGGGACTGGTGGGCGCACTGGGGGGGGGGCCTCGTAAAAGGTGTACATGAACGGGTGGAAGAAGCCGAACAACACCTGGGGCGAGCTGCCCCACCTCGGCACGCACGCCTACAGCGGCGCCCCGCTGGCGGAGTCCGTGGACTGGACGCAGAGCGGGGCCGTGACCGAGGCGAGAGGAGGAGAGGGGAGGGGGAGGAGGGGAAAAGGGGGAGGATGAGGTGGTGGTGAAGGAGGAGGAGGAGGAGGAGGAGGAGGAGGAGGAGGAGGAGGAGGAGGAGGAGGAGGAGGAGGAGAACCACAGTAACAAAAGGTGCACATCGGTGCTGCAAGACACCCTCCCGTCCCAAGCCCCGCCGTGCGCCACTACAAGTTCCCCTTTTCCGCTACAGGAAGCGCCCCCCTTGAAAGACCAGCACAGTTGGGCCTGCTATTTTGGCGAGGGTCCCTTTTTGACAAGAACTGCCTTGCATCTCTCTGGCGCGTAGTCAGGAACGCGCAGAAGCAATCAAAGCAATGATCATGCTGTAAGATCATGGCCATCCAACCTCCACCTCGAGACTCGCCAAACACTTCCAGCGAAGGCGGCTGTCCTTAATGGACTGTGGATCTCATCAAACCATACAGTTCAGCGAAGTGTCCAGCGACGGCCTCCTTTCGACAAAGGGCTGCCCCCCACCCGTGTAGCAGTTGCACAAGTCTGTTCTTGTGGTCATGAACTTGGGCGAGGGCTCCAGCGACAGCTCCATTTTGAAAACGTTTCTCCACGGATCCGTGTCGCGTTACGTGCGTTGAAATTCCAGGTCCTTCAAGTTGGCGAAGCGTCAGGCGATAGCTCAATCTTGGCACAACGCAGTCACCATTCTGCTTAACGTGTCATACAACAATGCGCGCGGCGCTGAGACGAGAACCCAATTTTTTGGAAAGAAACCGCCCCACATCTATGAAGCGCGTGCAGCAAAACATCTGCGTGGATTCGTGGCGAGAGGGCCATTTTGAAAACGACCCCCTTCATCCGTGAAAACATTGCAGACTTCCAATGCGAATGTACACGGCGCTCACGCGAGAGTGCCATTTTGGAAATTACCCCCCCACCCTAAAGCTGATTCGAATTTTTCAGATGACTGCGCGCGGCGCTGATGCGAGAACATTTTTTTGAAAAGGGACTGCCCTCCATCCGTGAAGCTTGTGCAACTTTTGACCGCGGCGAATGACCGCGGCGCTCAGGCGAGAGCCGCGTTTTCAAAATGAACCCCCTTCCATCGGAATCGCAATTCAATATCGTGGCTGACGTTGCCGCGCGCGCTGGTGGCCACGACAACGGACGACTTCCTTTAAACCCTTTCATTCGGAGTGCGCCCCAAGGCTGGGTGATTGGAATCAAGCGATATCCGATCACAGGGTACGCGCAGTTTCTCAAGCTATGGTGGCTTCAAGCAGATTTGACGGAGGCCCCAGGGGGCCCGGCAGTAAGTGTTCGACGACGAGGACAAGTATTCCAGTTCGCGATTCGCCTGCGCACACCGCGGTACAACATGGACATCGGCTCGCAGGATATGAGAGAGCGCCAGAGTTCTTTGTATAACCAGCCAACCAAATAGGAATTGTCGGAACTATTTTCAATCCAGCACAGGAGTGTGGAGCCAAGATTTTACTGCAGCAGGTACTTGAGACATATGTTTTGTTTGAATTATTTTTCAGTTCTGTATTTCTGTATTGTTTGGCCTTTTCAGATGCAGGCTCTCAATGTGGATTTCAGATGAATTATTTTGGCAAGACCCACTTCTGACCACGCAGTGCTCATCTCACAGAGCTGCAGCATTTTTTTTATTTGGTCAGAGTTGATGGGGGCCTTTCGGGATACAGCGGCATCAGACGGCTGTGCATCAAACTGTTCGGAGATCATGAAGGGCTGAATCTTCGATTTTGCATGTCGTGGCATCAGTTTATCACGCCTCAGGATGTAGCTTCTGGCCAACTTTTACGTGGTACGACGGTTCTTGGAATCATCAGGATAGGCAATGGAGCGGATATGGTTCTTGGCAAGAGGAGACGTACTGGGGATATCAAGAATAGAGTGAAGCAGACCACGCAGGCGACCATCATGTCCACAGCAAACTGAATAATTTGAGGGCACGTGCCATCATGCCCAACGCAATAGTGGCGGTCCATAATTTGGATCCAAGTTGGAATCAAGCACGGGCTGTCCTCTTCCCGGCGGAAATCCGAGTCGAGACCGTCCGAGGTCCACCGGCAAAAGTGGCAAACGAAAAGTTAAAGGCAAGTGCGCGACGAACGACGGCCGTGGTGGAAATAACACCAACAAGAAAGACAAAAGAAATTTCAAATCTTCAAGTTCAAGAGGATGCCGAGAAGGGCAACTTAATTCAAAATGATACACTCGTGGTAAGAGTAGAGAAAATGGAAACCGATGCCGAAGTGGAGGCGCGTTCGTTCTTGAAGATGGCGCTGCTGAAGTTGACTTCGGAAGCCAATGCCATCGAGACGAACGACGGTGACGTCCCTGTCTGTGATGGAGGTGATGCAGTCTGTGGCAAGAGCCAACAACCAGCTGGTGATGCGTGGTGCGAGTCCGCTGGCGGAGCGCTGGAGCAGCAACCTTTCTCAAATGGCGCTTGGGCAGCATTCGAGACGGACGGCTCCGGTTGACTGATGGGTGCCGGCAGTGGCGAACCGACGCCACTTTGGGCGGCTCCTCGTGTTCCATAATGGTCAAGTGTGGCGCCTCAGGACTTTTTCTCGCCGCAAGGAGGCGCGCTGGCACCTTCGGCTTCGAGCGCGCCGGCAGCTTCGCGCGCGCGGCCAGCGCGATCGCGACAACTTCCACAGGTCGGCTGTGATTGTGTACTGGCACGGCGACAAAAGAATGGATGGTCTGGGATTTCATGATCAGGAGGACTTAGATGCTCAGAGTTTACAGTCAGGGACTTCTGCATTGACGCGCCCCGTGAGAGGCGGGAGTGGACTGGCAGCGGCAATTGCAGCGTAGTTCTCGGCTGCGTAGTTCTTGGTCTTCGCATCTCACGAGCGAGTGATGTTGTCACTGCGGCGAGCGGCGCCGATTTGGGGGCGGCCCTAGTCACGCCCGGCTCATATCTCTGGCTGCCGGAATTTGCACGCGGCTCGTGGGCGTCCTACGCGTGGCATGCTTGTCGACGCGGGCGCCGCTAAGCCGATCGTGGGCATCGGCGCCGTGGAAGAGTGCGTCGCCGACGTCCAGTGCGAGTGAGGCAAGGTGACTTCGGCGAGGAATCCCGGCGGCGCATTCGATGGCATCGGAGGCCGACGGGAGAAAAGCAAGGGATTGGCTGAGACGCCTCCTGGCCTCCCGCTTCCAGGCGTCGCCGAGGTCGCGATTGGTGTGGATTCGCTCGGCGACGTGGGCTTGGAGTTTCTGGGCCCTGTTCCTCTCGGCGTCCTACTCTGACTTCAGATGTCGATGCCCTGTGGGGTGCTGCAAGGGGAAGATGACCTCGTGATTATCAAAGTCGTGGAAACAGGGGGCCGGCGTTCCGCGGCCGTGCTTCGGATGTTGTTCAGCGAGATCTTTATGACCGACTCATGCCATTATCTGCTTCCGACCGCGGGCGTCGACAACGGGGCCCGCTGGGCAGATCGCGGGCGGCAGCGGCGGGGTGTTCGAAAGAGGTCGCGCGCACCTCGGCCGCCAAGCGCTACGAGAGACGGAAAGGAGCTCCTGGCATGCGCGCTGGCCCCCTGACGCTCGCAGCGAAGGCGTCGGGCCCAGAGGGCGAGAGTGGCCCCGGCAACCTTCGGATGCAGATGGCGAGGCGGGGGCTTCAGGGTCGCGCAGGAACAATATTGCACGACAGTTTGCGTCAGTGCCATTTCGCGGGCCTCCGACCCTGCTGTCGACGCCGACTGCGACGCCCGCTGCGTCGGCGCTGCCGGCGCCTTGGGCGCGATCTGCTCCGGAGGCAGCGCTTTTATCGAGCAGGAGTGATGGAATCAAAGACTCTGGCTGGGACTGCCCGGGTCGCGGGGGCAGCGCGAGTCGTGGGGGCGCCTGCCTCGTAATGGGAATTGCGCGGCGTGCATGGGGTTATCTGGTCAGGTCTGCGCCGGGCGCATTTGGCCTCGTCATTGGAATGCGGAGCGTGAGACGGACGCAGGCAAGCGTCATCTCTGTGCGCCAGGGAAGTTCCACAGACGCGGCGCTCTTCCAGTAGCTGCGCCAGCGAGTTCTCTGCAATGTCTACGCCGCGTCGCTTCGCCCATCGAGGTCAATATCCTGCAGCGCAGGTTGGACGTCCAGGGGCGCTGTTCAAGGTCCGCCAGACTTTCGCTGGATGCGCTTCATCTGGGGCTCAATGCGCATTCCCAGTTGACCGCGGATATGGGGCGCGGGCGTGGCTGATCACCGGTACTTTTGGGCCAGCTGAGCGACGGGTTTCAGCATCTCTGTCCAGTTCATCCATCCATGGTGCTCGCCCTAGTCGACGGTGAATGCCGCTCCGAAGGCAGTGGCCGAGGCTCGAGCGCGTCAGGGAGCGAGACCTGGTCTTCAGTGGACCTCCTATCGTTGCAAGCAGATCTTCGATTATAAGGGGATGAAGCTTGCATTTTTTGAGGCGCCTCATGACTCGCAGCGACTCGCGGCGAGCCCCTGCGCGCGCCCGCCAGGGCGAGCGCGCCGTCTCGACAGTCATAGACACCAGTGTCAACATGGAGCCAACGACTCAGACAGCAGAGGCCTGCGCAACAAGAAGACGACGATCCTCGACTACATCCACCTAGAGATCAGTTGGTCTACTCTGCTGCTCTACACCAGGGATCGGAAGTGCCCGTGTCATGGAGTGTTTTTCTGGGGGGATTATTGAGGCGAGTGCGTTGCGGACGTCTACAGCTGCAGTGTATCTTTGGAATCTCTGTCTGTTTTGCGTGGAGATGTCTGGTATCTAGCCCGCGGCAAGTACAGTGCATTGGCAATCGTGTTTTTCTGGACCTGCGATCGGTGCAAGCGTGGAGCTCTTTATCCAGGCGCTGACATTCGAGTCGCGTGCCGGTGCGTGCTAGAGCTGAAGGTAGCAGGTTCGAAGGTGCGGTGTCGCCTTCAAGAGCCATCGTCGGAAGTTGATCAGCAGTGTTGTACCTTATCGAGCTCCAGCTCCAGCGCCTCTACTTCCAGCA